TCACCTTGGTTATAGAACATGCCGTGAACCTTATACAGGACAAAGGTCAAAAAGTGACGAGTAGAAGCATGCAGGACAGCGGAGCTTCCCACCAACGAGGGGAGAAGTGTGCAGAAAGCTGCATTGCTGCTGCTGTGATTCGTCTATTGGTCGAGAATCCCGGGCAGCTGTGTAGCAGTGTGCAGCCCATGCACATATTTTCGATACTGCATACTGATATATGCTGAGATTGGCGAAGAAGAAGACGACAAGTCGTAGTGCATGTGCACCCAAGTAGTCCGGGTGGATAGCAGACTAGCAAACCGATGCGGCCATCTCCGCCCGGCCCCTTATCGCCTAGCGTCATGTATCATCAACTTACCCGACGGACCACCTTTCGCTCTGTCTGAGACTCGTAACACTGGCCGACAGCGAGAAGCGCGGGAGACAACACCATGGCTGCCCATCCCGACGAGGGACCCGCCGTCGCCCAGCACCCCGCTCCGCCCCCTTCTGGCGCTATCAAGGCCGACTCAGGAGCGGGAGGCGCAACCAAGCCCCGGAACGAGGACGCGCCCGCGCCTGCGCCCGATCAGGATGAGGAAGATGGCGGCGCGTGGGACCAGGCCTCCCTGTACGAGGAGATTCTAGACGAAGTGGAAGCCTTTGAGTACTCGGACGATGGTGAGTCTGGCCACTATGCGCCTTCCACTTCCACCACCATTGACACCCCACAGGCGTAGACACGTGCACCGCCGACGAGGCCCGCCGCTTGCGCCAGCGGCTCCATGAGATTGGCGCGAGCGCATTCGTCATGGAGAACATCACGAGCGAGAAGATGACGGCGCGCAAGCTGTGCACTGCCTTTGGCGTCAAGATTCCCAAGTTTCTCGAAGAGGCGCCTGACGAGAGCTTTTACCAGCTGCTGGGGCTGGCCATCAACCGCGAACTGAACAAGCGGCCGCGACTCGCCCAGTACAAAACCATCGACGACGCTGCGAAACTGCTGCGCGAACGCAAGAACATCATGGTCATCACGGGCGCCGGCATATCGACGAGTCTTGGCATACCCGATTTCCGCTCCAAGAACACAGGTTTCTACTCGCGGCTGCGCGAGATGGGCTACGACGAGCCCGAGGAGGTCTTTGACATCCACAACTTCGACGAGAACCCCCGCACCTTCTACGCGCTCGCCGGCGACATCATACCCGATCTCGAAAAGTGGACGCCCACGCACGAGTTCATCCGCCTGCTGCAGGACAAGGAGAAGCTGCTCACCAACTACACACAGAACATTGACAATGTGGAGGCACACGCGGGCATACGCAAGGAGAGGCTCATCCAGTGCCACGGCTCCTGGGCGACGGCAACATGCCGGAAGTGCAAGTTCAAGGTCCCCGGCGAGGACATCTTCGACTGTGTGCGCGCACAAAAGCCCGCCGAGTGCAAGCGCTGCAAAGACGAAATCGCCGCCCAGCCCAGCAAAAAGCGCAAGCGGACCTCCAACGGCAACGGCGCCCGCAAGAAGCGCTCGAGCGACGAGGATTCAGAGTCCGACGGCGCCTTCGACATCCCGCAGCCCGGCATCATGAAGCCCGACATCACCTTCTTCGGCGAAGCCCTCCCCAACGATTTCTTCGACCGCCTCAAGGACGTGGACAAAGACAAAGTCGACCTCGTCATCGTCATGGGCACCTCGATGAAAGTCGCCCCCGTATCCGAAATCCCAAACTTCCTCCCCCGCGACATACCGCAGATCTACATCTCGCGCGACCCCATCCACCACATCAATTTCGACATCAACTTGCTTGGCGACTGCGACGTCGTGGTTGCCGAGTTGGCGAGACGGGCGGGGTGGACGCTGGAACACAAGATGATACCAGAGGGGCAGACAACGGAGGTGGAATTGACGGATGCGGTGGATCATATTTCTACGGTCAAGGTCCATGTTCCTGTTATGACTACCACGAATGGTCACATCAATGAGCAGGCATGAGCTTAACGGCCTACGACAGACGGCATGGCGTTTGAGTATACATAACAAATGGCGTTGTGAATGGTGTTTACATGGATATCGGTTTCGACCGCATGGACGGTGACCCCGTAGGATGGGCTCAAGATTCACAATATGGAGTTTCACATAGGCTTAGGGCGTTTGTGGTATGGATACGAGAGGAGGGATGAAGTGGCGGCATCAGAGATACCATGGACGGACCATACGATCATATCGGGGGAGCATAGCCGCAGTCTCCTTGTGTTTATATATTTTGCTTCTCCTTCTTGCATATAGACTTCCTGAACAAAATCGAAGTTCGCTTGCAATTAGGATGGAAACGCACTGTCGCATTATCACTCCTCGCAGCAAAGCTATGAGACAAACGACAGTTTATCTGTACAATGATGGTTCTTAAAGACGCGTGCTACCGAGGTCGTGCCTGCCGTGCGGCGCGGGCAGCGTACTAGCCCTCCCGCCTCCCCTTACTGAACGACCCCAGGACCTGCATCACACCTGACAACCACCTGCCACCTCGAAATCCTAGCACTCTTACAACAACGTTACAGTATCAGCGTTTGCGAAGTCAACAAAGCCGTCACGTCATAGCGCACGCGTTGCTTCCCCTCACGTCATCAGACCCGCTCCTGCTCATCCAAACCTACGACCGACCGCGAACACTCCAGCTTCTATGACACGACACGCGACGATGGAACTACACAGTATATACGCAGAACGATTACGTCGACGATGACATCGGCGAAGATTGCAAAGCCTTTACAGCGACGTTGTACTGCAGTATGCTGTAGACTACAGCTACAGTACCGACGAGCAGGCCTAGCAAATGTCAGCTATAAACCATGGTCATTTGATGGACAAGGTCATGGATATACACACTCAGGAACCCGAGTAGAGCTGTCAGGAACAGGCCTAGGATAGCCACAGTCAGAGCATTCCGTTCCGACGTGTGCCTCTCGAACCATGCGACGATGCTGTTCGCTGGCGGCGGATGGTTTACTATTCTCAACAACGTCGCTAAGCGATCTCCCAGATACTTGTACTCGAACTCATCTGGCAACGTACGAATATGCCTCTCGAAGTACGTCGCTTTGGGATCAAAACCGTACTTTTCGGTGAATTTCTCGAGCGACTTGAACGACCGTCCATCGTTCGGGAACAGAAGGAACTGTATGGAGTCCAGGACCTCCAACAGCAACTGTGGTGGCAATGTTCCCCTGCGGAATGTGAGCTCTGGAACGACAAGGTATGCATCGGGGTGAGCTACTTCTCCAGACTTTTCCGAAATCCGATATCAATATCCTCATCACGCGAGCGGTAGAGATGCGCTTTCAGGAAACCAACCTGACGGAAGACATGAAGGATGCGACGCTCTGGATCGAATACGAGATGTTCGGCTAGGTTGTTGGTCGGTCGCAGCCTTACTTTGTATCGCTCTTTCAACTTCCAAGCTTTCAGCCTGCCTCGCTGTGCCAGTGCATCCTGGGATTCTTGGCGGGTCTTTCGGCTTTGGGTCGAAGAAGGGAAGCAGCGCTCAACAAAGTTGGCGAAGGACTGCTTCTCCCCCCATGTCCGAGGCACGTAATCGCCCACCTTGCGACTGCTTTGCTTCGAGGCGCAGTCGATCATCAGTGACGCTTTCACCAAGGCTTGTATTGCGTAGTCCCGCGCTTCGAGGGCCAGATTGTTTGCGAAAAGGCTGTCGAAATCTGCCTTGGTCTGCATTACGTTGCCGATAAGCTTGTTGAAGAACGATATCACCTCCGCGTGACTGGAATACATCGGTGTCCCAATCCTTACTGCGTAATCGCCGGGCGATCCTCTGGTCAACGTTTCGTAGTGTTTAAAGTACACCTCATGCTTTTCCGGTTCCTTCGCAGCCTCGTCACTGAGGAAGCTTTCCGCAATGTCTCTCTTTTCGGCTTGTGTTGGCGGTTCCATGATAGCTTGGTATACTGCCACCAAACTGCGTCAGAGCCATCCGCCTTATACTGCCGACGTTTATAGCCTGAGGTCCCCTTTCTCGCCAACTCATGGCGCATTTGGGCTCTCCGCTTCTTTGCTGGTGGCTGTGTGGACGCCACCATATGCGGCCTCTTCAGCTGATGCGTGATCCCTGCGAAGTCCTCCCAACGTCATAGGAGTCGAGCCTGCCGCCACACTTGGTTGCGATGACACGCTGCGCCATCTCATGTGCGCCACTTTCCTGCTTGTACTCGCTGGTATCGCATTCCCGGTATTCTCTCAAACCGCAGCTCCCTCGTCCCCCAACCCTTTTACTTCACCCCTTCCTCCGTGAACCACGGGCGACCTTTTCTAAATCACACAAGATCCAGGAGAACAACATTGACTTTCCCCTCACGCTGAGGCTCTCACGGATGTGAAAATGGCTACATTGACCCCACCACCACCAGGCTCACCTCCCACGACATCTAAGTCGGCTTCTGGACAGCATGGACAGTCTCGGTAAATCCTCCTACAAGCTAAAGAAGGCTTCGCTGACGAATGAAGGCGCTCTCCATCGGACACGACAATGATGTCGAACGCGCGCGCTTCTCATATACCGAATACGAGTCGAGCTCCGTACACAGCTGGCTCTCGAGCTGATCCCACACCTGCGGCTCCGCATTCATCGACGAACCCGCCCACTACTCCGACTCTCAATCAACCCGTCAATACACACCCAGCCGACTCACTCAGAGATCCCAAACCACTTCTGGGATGTCAACTTCAGCCGACTATACATGAGTACGAGCATTTTCCGCGCAGCCCTCCACACTACGCTGCTGCTCAACATGTCATGAGCAACTTCGGAGATGCCATGTACAAGACGAAGCACACTTGGAAAACGATGACTTTGAAGACGATGAGACTTTCCGATTACGCTTCACTAGTAAAGTCCAGATTCGCCATGTGTAGTACCATAGGTGCACCGCCGGAGCCTGCAATCGTAGTGGAGTGCCCAAACCGGATACTCAGTCGAGTAAAGAAAGTGTTGCAAAGTCGCAATATGAAGAACCAGTACGCTGCTGGTGTCACCCCTGGTCTGGCATTTGCGGTCTACTATTGTGGTAGAGACGATATTGCCTTCGAACTCAGATGGTGCAAGAGCATTGTCACTTTGAATGGGCCTGAGCAGTCTCTTTCTTTATGTGGGACTCGCATGTCGTCGATCCAGGATATCAAGACACCACCTTCAGGTGACGCAACGGTAGCCTGTCTCCTCGAGGTCAAGGGCGATCTTTATGCTCTTGGTCCTGCACATCAACTCACCCGAAAAGACGCTGCCAAGTCTCAGGAGCAGTTGCTCGCTGAGTTGCTACAGATGGACGAAGACAAAGACGAGGACATCGCTTGGGAGGAAGCTGAAGACAACGACAGCGACTACGACGAAAGCGACGGTGATCACGCCTCAGCCAATGACATCATATCCGATAAGGATATGCTTGACAGTAATATAGCACCACCCGATAGTCTTTCTCCTTCGCCACGAGAAGGCACTCATCATCCAAGGGATGAAGGTGTCACAGTTTTGTTTCCGGGCCCAGATGACCTACAGGACGACAACGCGGATGGCGATTGGGCGGTTGCACTCATTCAGAAGCCTGAACAACAGCTACCGAACTTGTACTCTGCGGAGCAGCAAGTCTCTGGGCAGGATTCCCCGAAGCAGGAAGCTCCTAAGCTCCGACACATAGTCGAGTTTGCGAGTGAGCCATCCAAAGACGATACCGAGCCCATAGTAGAGAGGTCCGTTCATATACTCACCTCTTCCTCGACAAAGCAGGGCAGGCTCCTCCCAGGGTTCGCCAACATTTCCGGTCTAAGCGGACGCGGGCACTGCAACGTACATATTGTGGCGATCGACGAATCCGATGGTAAGTACTCCCTTCATGGCGGCTTTTCTCATCATCTGACGCCATGACATAGATATCGTAGCCGGCGACTCAGGGTCTCTTGTCGTTGATGCGCAAAATTCCCTGGCATATGGTCATGTCGTGGCCACAAACTCGCAAGGCTATGCCTACATTGTGCCTCTGTACACAACAATCCGTCAGATGAAGGCATTCTTCGGGACCGCCAACGTCCGTTTGCCAGAACCCCTACATTTGTTATCCCGAGTAGCACTTCACTACGTTACCACTAAGCAGTTCTGCCAAGCTGAAGAAGCTATCATCGCGTTGACCGATCTTGTGCAAGATTTTTGCAACTCTCGCCAATGGGAGCGACTAGCCCATTGGATCAGGACTTCCACGGCACGAACTAACCTGCTTGACATTTGGGATGACAAGCTGGCACAACTCTTTGTAAGTCCACATCAGACGACATTTGTATAACTGTATCTTACGAACTGAAAGTCCGACAAATACGAAAACCAGTCTATCAGGAAGTGGTTGACGGTGACACATGCCTTTCGGGAGCGGTTTCGAGCCGAGAACCTCAGCGTAGATGAATATCGCTTTACACCCCACCCCAAGCCCTTCTACGACTTTGCGTCAGCAGTACTTCCACAGATTCTGGAGGAACTCAGCGCGCCCTACAATACGACCTTACGATCGTGTCGAACGTGCCAACATTCTCGCTATGATATCTGCGTCATCACTCCGCTTCTCAATTCCGGTCCCGACGGCATGACTTCCAACTCTTCGATCATCAAAGCAATCATCACTCAACTGTTGTCTGCATTGAACTTCACCTCTTCTAGCCGATTTACTCGGCGTTCTGAGCTCCGACGTCGGTTTCCTTTTACGGGGTATCCCAACGGCCTGCAGAATCTAGCAGTTGTCCTCGACATTCACCTAACCTTGACGGTGGCATGCTCACAAATCGATCTCCAGCGAACCAACATCGTGCCCTTCAACGAGCGGCTTGAGTTCCTCGAGCCGCTTACAAAAGGCACGCTCGCATCTGTATACCGCGCGACCTCTTGGTGTGTGGATGCAAAGGAAAAGATCGAGATCGCGGTCAAGAAGGTCTCGAAGAGTACCACCACTGTTGTTCAATGGCTAAATGAAGAGCGAATTCTCCAGCAACTGCAGACATACAACGATCCGCATATTGTCGAGTTGTTGACCTCATATTGCACCTTGGACAGCTACGCACTCGTCTTCCCGCTGGCGAACGGCAACATGGATCAACTCATGGAGCGTGACATCCGTGCCTCCAGCCTTGAGCTTACAGCGACATGGGTAGTGAAGCAGATACAGGGCTTGGCTAAAGCACTACAATACCTCCACACCGGGGATGAGCATACCAAAATCTACGGGAGACATGGCGACATAAATCCCAGCAACATCTTGTGGTACAACGACACTAAAGACGGGATACCTCCGTTGGGCACCCTCAAAATTGCCGATTTCGGCCGTTCCGAACTGCGCTCTCTAGGTGAAAGACGACCAAGCATCCGCAAGGCTCTTTGTGAAGGAACCATACTCCATCGTATTGATTACTCATATGGCACTTATGCTGCTCCGGAGTGCGAGTTACCTACAAGCGTCTGTCCCGATCGCCGGACCTCTGACATCTGGAGTCTAGGCTGCGTGTTTCTGGAGTTCCTTATCTGGACTGTAGAAGGCGCAAAGGAAGTAAGGCGACTGCACCAGAAGCTTCGCTCTGACGTTCCAGGGCGTGGAACGTCGTTCTGGCACCTAGAAGTGTCGACACATCAACTCCTGTTCTCTCTCAACCCTCCGATCAAAGAGTATCTAGCGAGGCTATCGCAGTATGCGAAAGACAATGCCAAGCTACGGGCTGCCGTTGATCTTCTTGTCTACGGAGGTGTTCTGGACCCAAATCCTCACGAGCGTCCGACAGCGAAGCAGTTGGTAGAAGAACTGAGGAGCATCAGTATCGAAACTGTGCATGGTCACACCGTCGCTAAACGTCCTGTTTGGACACGCCTTTGGACCTACACGCTTGGATACCCACCGCAACACCGTCATACTCGGATAAGGAACGGTCACGACCCCAATATCGTGTTTGGCACACTGTTACTGCCATACCCCAATATGGCGGGTGCAGGATTTCTCGAGAACGAAATCACTATCGATTCGGAGCATTACCAGGACATGGACGACGAATCGCTGTTGCATGAGTATGATAGCGACCTAGACAGAAGTAGTAACTGCAGTCTTGACTCGAAACGAACATGTCCTTACTGCGCTCTCGAAGCTCGCCCCGTTGCTCTCAAAGCCCACGCCAGAGCCGTACATCGCAATCACACAATCCACGAATGTCCAGACTGTAAAGAGCTCTTTGCAGATATGAAGCAGCTTAGGCGGCACCAAAGACAGCTAGGTTTAAGATGTCTCAGCGCGTCAATAGTCGATAACAAAGATCCTTTCGGAAGAGAGCCACAACTCTGTTCGCGACTGCCTCGTACCGACAGCGCGACAAGCTTGCGTGGGCAGCACGTGTTCGATGATAACTCTGTCCGATCGAGTGTGCTTTCAACCGAGTACCCTACCCAAATGCGCAGCGGTGGACTGGCGCATAGTTATCATCATCATGATGATGCAGGCGGCCCATATGTGGAGTGATCACACCAAGACTATCTCTTTACCTTCATATGCATTATCTGCCGGCGTTTCTGGAGGCCTCACGGGTGCTGAGCGGTAGCGATGGATGGTGTTGTTTACTGTACATTGGTACCTCTATGTTGTTACTTTTGTATATGCGCGTTTCATTTTGTTGTTTCGGTCGACTATCAGCGGCGCTCTTCTGGGCTCATTGGTTTTGGCTCGCTGAGTAACACAGCGTAAGCGATCAGAATTGGTTGTTTTGTAATGTACTACTATCCCAGTTCAACATATGATACCCTAATTACTCAGTCTAAGTATCTCGTTAATACATGGCGTAGGAAATCATGTCTGTCATTATAACGTGGTGACTTCCTCCAACCCGTTCACTTATCCCTGAATTACACCAACAACCTCTTATTAAACTTCCTCCACCCTTGCAAGGCTCCAGCCCGTTACAATCCAGAAACCTTGTCAGCCTATACACCCCATAATTGTCCAAAGTCTTCAACTCCCCTCAAGACTCAATAGTGAGGAATCTCAAACTAGCAATCGCCTTATTCATCGTCTCAGTTGCGTCTTCTGTGTGGTTTGTTGTGTCTACCTCCTGCCATCGGGCGTCACTGTCTTTTCCATTCCCCATACACTCAATGCTTAACTTCGTGTCTCTTCTTTTCCACATCAAGGCAAAAGGTCCATTGTCGTGAATGTGTCTAGTCTTGCCAATTCCATTGTTCGCCTTCGACGTCACTAATAGTGTCACAAGGCTCGCAAACGCTACGCACTCTCAATTCTACTCCCCGTCACTGCCGATCTACAGAAGTTTCCTTTGCCGTTTCGCCGCTGTTCTCACTTTGTAAGCCAATCAGAACGTCGTCGTCGTAATGCGCGCTTTTGGTCCGTGCTTCTTGTTGTTTTCGCGCTCCAAAGCCGCCTTCACTTGCGCCTTCACCTCACCAGATCAGGCCATATTACACGCCTCGAACGTTCTTCAGGCAACAATATGCTCACAGACTACGTCAGTCACCTAGGAACCAGACGCGCTAGCGCCGACTGCCGGTGATCTGCCGGCTCACCCTCTGTCTATATAAACCTCCCATCCCCCCGCCTTTCTCCCTCTTACTCCCCACTCGCTCACTTCTCCAATAACTCAAGTTTACTATCCCCAAAAAATTTCAGTATCATGGCCGCAACCTTCCAAGTAAGCCCTTCTTTCCCCTTCCTTCACTTCAGTCTCGGCTAACATTTTCAGACATCGGCCTTTACTCATGATGTATGACATCATCCATCAACAATCATCATGAGTAACAATAACATCAACCCTTCCTCACTCGACTGTCGACAGTCAACATGACTTCACTTCACTTCCAACTTTCAGCCTCGCCTTCAACATCACCGCCTCGCATGCCTCACACCTACCCGCCTCGGTCCAACTTACCTACCTCACTTCGATTCGACCTCCATCTTGACACCCATGTCACCTTCGGTCTACCCTACTACCACATCGAACTCGCATCGTCTTACTACATCGGCTCATTGCCTCTACTCCTCGACATGCACCACCACCGACGGCACCGCGGCACAGGCACCAACCTCTCTGGCACCGGCTCGATTCTCCTTTGACTGTCGACAGTCTCACGCCACTCCCGATCGTATGCGCGTCGCGAAAGTCAAGTTGTGGCACAGGGATGCAGGCCAGGCTGCATGGTCGGCCCTTGAGTTGGTAGCGGTTTGGATCAGAAGGACTGGCAAGAGCGGAGGATCAGTGGTGTTGAGTTCAGTCACTGTCACTGTTGGACACTTTCACATTGGATGTTGATGCCATCTCGAGATTGCCTCGAGACAACAAGGTTGGAGGACAGACGGTCAATGGCGCTTGCGCTACACTGGGCCTCTTGTTGTTCTCTTGGGTGTCTTCGGACCCCAGGATGGTTGATCATCTTATCTGAACCGGATGGCGGCTTCTTCGGAAGTTCAGGTCAATTCTGGTGAGGATAGTGAAGTGTCGGCATGTTCGACGAGCACTGTTCTTGACATCGCTGCTGGTGAGCCCTGGTTTGGTGGATGGTTGAACTTGATGGACTTGGTGGTGGTGGTTGGATATTCCAGGGGTGGTTGGATAGTGCAAGGACTTGGTGGTGGTTGGATGTCTTCTTGGTCGTCTCGATGGAACATGGACTTCTTGTATGGGTTTCAACTTCAGGGTTTCAACGGTGGTGGTGGTTTAGCTTAGCTGGCATTCTTGGGTCCTCAATCAACCAACTTTGTCATTACATCTTGTTCCCTTCTTGACTTCTTGACATCTTGACATCTTACTTGTTTGACATCTTGACATCTTAGTCCCTTACCTTCTTTCCTTTACATCTTCTACCTCATGCATTCTACCTTGCTATTGCCCACAACACACTCCAAAAGTTTTGTCAATGCTACCTTCTAAGGCCTTAGCATTCCTCGCTATTGAACTCTAAAGTAGATATTCTAGTATACATCTAAGGCAAAGACCTGCGCCACTACATGTACTTTATCTCTTATGTCTCTCTTTACCTTATTTCCGTTGCATTCTTCTCTAGAAGAAGAGAATGTAGACGCTACACAGCAGGTAAAACCTATACAGCGCGCACATGTGCAAAGCAGGAGATATATACCAAGCAACCAATGCGCGCATTGCACCTTCTGCCATGACTTCTCCCTTCTACCTCGCTAGTCTAGACTCACACTCTCTCCCCTCCTTCTTCTTGCCCGTCGCCCTCTCACACAAGCCATATACTCCGTATCCCGCGCTACCAACCCACCCATCCCCAACGCCCTCCACTCCTCCTCCAACGCCTTCTCCGCATACGCCATTCTACTCTCTTCTGAGCGCATGCTTCCCGGCGTCTTCTTCTTCTCCTTCTCTTCCCCATCTCCACCCCCATTGCGCGACGCATCCGAACACATGTACCACCCCAAAGTGGGCTCATACGTGATACCCAAATGTTTGACAATGCGGTCGTGTTTCGCGCGGCGATTGCGCATATAGCTTTCGTCGCGCGCTGCGTCGCCGAGCTGGGATCGTATGTGTGCGGCGCGGGCGCGAACATCGGGGGCGGATAGCATGATGCATGCGGCGCCCATGATCGGGTATGGTGCTGTTACTAAAGGCGGAAGATCGAGGTGCAATGGCGACGAGGTAAACAGGTCAAGTTTAGAGAGCTGTGTGGATTGTATGGCTTGTGTCATTGTCTGGCCGGCATATCAGCACTATCACACATACGTGAAGGGGCGTTTCCAGTCCCTGGGGTGTACATACCATCTTCTCATACTCCTTCTTATCGCACCCCAGGCAACATGCTATGGTCTTGTAGAAACACGCTTTCCGCTGTGTCTTCTTCTTGCAGAAGTAACACATGTCGCCTAGCCATTTTCGACGGCATGTGTATATGCGCGTTTTCTTGGGTAGGACGATGTCGGCGTGGCGTTTGAGGAGGTTGCGCGCGTATTCTTCGACGATGGCGTTGAGGTGTTTGTTTGTTGCCGCGAGCGCGTTGAGAGGGTAGGTGGGGAGGGTGGGGTTGAGGTGGGGTTCTGTGTAGGAAAGGATGGTGAAGAGGATTTCAGGCGGGAGAGTGTCAAGGTTCGCCATGCTGGGGTGGGGATGCGCACCGATGTGGGAGTTTCTGGTGTTGTGATATTACTCCCGGCGGCGTTAACTAGGCGGCGGGGTTAAGCTAGCCGTGTCGCGCGATGATGCGCGTCGTCAAGCGCGTTTCTATCACCTCACCACGACTGTCGATAACAAGACTTACTTTGGGAAGAAGCCTTCAGCCCAGCATGTCCACGAGTATTTCTGATCACTTTCGCCCTCTTGTAGGCCATCCAAGCCCATCTGCCATGTAGGCATGCCTGAGGCACACCGGAGCATATCCGAAAGCCACCCTTTCACACGTACGGTCGGACTCTCCTAGATATCGCATATCACTACCTCGGCGAAGACTGGTGATTGGGTTCAACTAAGAGCATGGAAATATGAAGGAACTGCTGATGTACAAATAGAGAAGACTTCGAAAGCCAGTAAGTTCTATTGCCGGATCTACCTGCTACTGGTTTCGTTGGATTGCTTAGGACTTACCCTCTTCAACTTCATGTGCTGATTGACGCCAGTTATCAATTACTTCAGCTCGATACGCTCACTTATGTCGCACACATATACCCTCTCAGCCCACCCGACGATCACCCGTACGGGATTTAGTGCCACCCACGAGTTTGTACATAACGAGAGTGTGCTCGAACAGACTTCACCCTTAGCGAGTTGGATTGCGACCGTGATTAGCTCTACCCGCTGACTCTGCTGTTTTGGGCCAAGACGGTGTTGGGCTTCATCATGAGAATATATGGACTTGACTGGGACCAGTGCTCGGATCAAGACAAGTAAGATTGCAATCAGGAAGTGAGGATCCAATCAAGGCTTTGTCCATTTGTGCTGCTGATGCTGTATGCAAGGAGCTTCATCTCAGGCACTCACGTCGGCAAAGATAGGCGGAGGGCATGCCTCCAGCTTACTCTAGTCAAGCGAGCCAGCCCGCAGTATTGGAAACGAGACCCTACGGACTGGTCAGTGCGGCTCAACGGCACGTCGCGGGTACTCAGGTTGCAACTATGCCTTTCTAAGAGCAGCGTGTGTGGAGTCTAGCTGCCACTTGCTGCAGCCAACTTCTTACCGTGACAACGGGCAATGCAGTTATGACATCCT